ACGCTCTCTTTCAATGTCGGCATTGTCCTTAAGTTCGTCGGTAATGTAATGACCTAGATATTTAAAAGAAGTTACTCTTTCAACGTTCATGCCGTTAAGGCTTACTTCTGGGAATTGTTTAAGAATATTATCGGCGGCCTAAAAAACAATGTATTCACACTTTTTAATGTTATAGTGGAGACCATGAGAAGCAGCGTAGTCAGGACAGACCTTCAGCATCTATTCGACCGACTTCACTGTCGGGCCCAGCAGCACCATGTCGTGCGCGTAGCTGATGTTGTTAACACAAACACCATCCACATGGCAACCAACACGCATACCGCTGAGCCCAACAATGAAACCATTTACATATAGGTTGAAGAGCCAGGGGGAGCGTACCCCCCTGCCTAATCCCGCACTCCAAATCATATGCATCAAAGAGGCAAGCACTACCCCACTTTATAACATTACATTGGTAACTGTACCAAAAACGAAATATTTCTAACAAGTCAAGCGGTACATCCCTTTCCCCCCAACTTTCCCCAGGGTATATCATAAGATATCAGATCAAATGCCCTGGAGAGGTCGAGGAAACAGGCGTACACTGGCGTCCTGCGTTTGTGTTTATGTTCTGTCCTTTTCTTTTTTTTTACGGGGGGAAATCTTTATACATACCTCACTAAAACCCCCCCGGGTTTACCTTCCGCCGGTTGAGTCGGCGCCGTGGGGTCGGTGCACATTCACCACGACGCCGCCCGGCCGCCCCGGGCTCCCGCGCCAACGGAGAGGCAGGTCAGTTGTCCTCCGACCCGCCCCCCAGACGAGTGACGTCGTTCAATGCAGGCTCCGGAATCCCTGCCCAGTGCACGCTGGCCTCACTAGGGGATCAGGTGAGCTGCCTTCGCCTTCTCCCCGTACGTCTGCACCGAAGCGCTACCTCCGCTACCTCCTTTTGCGACATAACCTCTCCGCAAAAGGAGGCCTCCGCCTCCCAGGACTCCTCGCTACCCAGCATGGCGGCAACCACGCCCGGCCGGTGCCGCCCTACTGTCTCCGTCAGAGTACAGCGCTGCTCATCCCACCGGCTGCACACCTCTAGGGTGTGCTGCGCGGTGTCATCCGCAGCGCCGCACTCGTGACACGACGGGGACGGTTCCCTCCTCGCCACCTTGTGCAGGTAGTGACCGAAGCAGCCGTGCCCGGTCAGAGTCACTCTTCGAGGACAGGGCGGATCGCCCCTATGGTACGAGCTCCATAGGGGGGATCCGCCAAGCCCTCTTTCCACCGGTCACAGGGTTTCCCTAGTGCGGGGCCATGTTGAGTGTGTGCGTTATTATTAAAAAAAACTCACAAAAAATTGAATATTAATTCAATAAAAATTTAAAAGGTGGAGTAAGTGACGTATACGATATATAAAGACGCCAGCACATCAAGTTACACATTGACGAATTTTGTTCCGTTGCACTGGAGGCGATACTCCAACAAAAGTGTAGCATGATGTGCTGGCATTTTTACGACCTTACTCAATCTTTATTGAGAATAATCTCAGTACAGACTACTAATAAAACTGACCTCAAAGGTCCATCCTCCCCTAGTTTGACACCCTCAGAGGTTCAAATTTAAATGGGACCACTAGTGCCATAATCTCTTTTCAACAAAAAACGAATCATCAAAATCGGTTCACAAATTTGTGAGTTATCGCGTAACATACACACAAAAAAGTCGAATTAAGAATCTATTCCTTTTTTGAAGTAGGTTAAAAATCTAAGGTTGTTGAACTTGATTGCTACTTTATATCTAATTTTTATTTATTTAAATATAAACATGGCGGTGTATGTAGTATAGTTCAAATTTTAGTAAGAACTTGTTTATAGTGGCTACATAGGCATTATAAAATATTCCGAAACTTCAACAAATGTTTGCGGAGATTATTTGCTTGTAATAGCGTTGTGCGCTTACACAACATACATGATTGTACAGAAATAGGCCAAACAAATTCTCAATTGGGTGGTTCACCAATCAATCAACGTATGTAACGAAAAACAATATTTCCGTAATGTATTATACCTACTTGGTTATTGCCACGGAAATGATCATATTACTGGGTCGGACGTTATGTATTATGTTACTCAGTGGTACTTATTTGTGTTGAGTAGAGGCTATGAAAGTAATACTTTTACTGATGAGTGAAGTGTGTGTGACAAGAATCAATAACTACTTTTCTCTGCCCTTAAAAACTTAAAATAATGACGGGACAATTATTAGGATAACAAAGATCAAAACTCTAAGAAAAATTCATAGGATCCGTGCCAGATGCTCTACCAATTAAGTCATAGAACAAATCAGCGGACCTAAAGAATCTTTCTATGTGCTTGTTGCTGATATTTGTTTTTGGTTTTTGTTGTTAATGTTGTTGAAGTCTATTCCAATCCATTTTGAACAAAAAGTAAACAAAACTGTTTGGTTAAAATTCTATAAGTAACACTTTCACGTATATTTCGAAGATTTCGACTTGATGTCTCATCACTTTTTTCAATAATATTCATTTGAATAGCATCGTAAAATCGTATTTGAAAAATTGTAGTCCAAAAATGAGGTTATTTTTCAACTATACAAATATGACTTGTCTATGGTCGTATAGTTCTGTACGAAAAAAAAAATTCGTTTCATTTAGTTAAAGTTTTTGTAATCGATTAGTAAATCGAATATTTCAATCGAAATCGAAGGAGTATCTAAGTGTAAGGATTTAGAGGATTCAAAATTAAGATTTCGGGAATTTTATGCTTATATAGGTTGGACGAACAAAGTCACAAATGTTGAGGTCCTTAAACGTATGGCAAAGAATGTGGAGTTGGCACGCACTGTCAAGCAGCGGAAGGTTGGGTCATGTACTGCGACACGATAGATATCACTTATTGCACACTATAATGATGGGCAAAGTAGCTGGAAAGCGGAAGGTTGGAAGAAGGATAATGTCATGGCTTCGTAACATCAGGGATTGGACCGGAATCAATACCGTAGAACAATTGTTCAGACTAGCTTTGAATAAAGAATGATACAGAAAACTGACTGCCGACCTTCAATAATGGAGAGACAATTGAAGAAGATATGTAAGGAAAACCGTTAGTATGACACTATTGAATAAATCGATTCATTCAATTAATTAATCGATTTGTAGTCGGCATTACAATTGGACATCACTAAACCGTCCATAGTCGGGTCAGTGACTTGTTTGTTGACTTTTTGTTTCAAAATGGATTGATGCGAAGTCTATAATACCAATCATTCGAATGAGCAAATCATTCGCTTAAGTCGATTCACGCACAAGCATTCAACTGGAGTCGGGTGCACGATTTGACCACGGTCATTCACCATGTCCATATCAAAATATCCCTGTCCCCGCTACATTTACTGTATTTACCATGTGTTAAAGAGAGAGCCAGGCAGAAATGCTCTATGGAATCTATGGATTAGTAATACTAATTAGGTAGTCATGAATGATCATTCAGATCATTCGAATACGAAAATTAGTAGGATACTAATTTATCATTCGAATTAGTAATTACTAACGAGTCAATTAACGAAATCATTCGCAATTGTGCATCGCTAGTAGCACTATCTGTGAGAAGACTATTTCTTCACTCGGCCTTGACAGCTACCAATGGCCGATTGGAGAAATCGCTGTAATAAATGTAATTTAAGTTTGTTGAATGTTACGATGTTTTACAGCCACGGTATTCAATTATTTTATTTTATTAATTTATTTAAAAATGATGACGATTATTTTTACAAGAGTGGTGCTTCCGCAAAAAAGCTGTTCAACCCGTCATGCGTCCTAGAAACACATGGTGTCTATAACGAGCAGCTGTGTTTTCATCCAGCATTAAAAATATATTATAAAACATTATAAAAGTGTGTAAAAAGTTAAAAAAGTACCTAAATAGAGTCACCTTGTGCCTCTAGGATGCCTGATGGGTTAAACCCAATAAAGATTAAAGATCGGCAAGGAGCACATGGAGAAATTATTAAATTCTGTTGTCTTGATTTCTAGCTCAATTGGTGAGAAATATTTGTGTGACCTAATACATCTATTTGTCTCGCGAGTTTGGGTGTAATTTGTGGTTGTCTATATGTGTGTTCATGGCATACGCGATACGGGGTCACCCTAGTGCTATGTGAGTGTGTTATTTATTATTATTTTATTATTGAGTCCAGTAGCATTGAGGTAATTTTTCTTTGCGTTTATTCGATATTTGTGTCAGTAATAACAACAAACTGGTGGAGAACTTACAAAAAATATTTACGATACGATAGTTTCTATTTAATTACTTGTATAGGTCGTAGTTTTATGATTTTACGTGCGAAAGACAAAAGCTCGCATTTAAAGTCGGATCATTCGAATTGACGTCGAAAATTACAGACTACGGAATTTTTATTATTTTAAAATAAAATAAATAACATTTTCGCGATGCAACACGTTGAAAACAAAAGTACTGTCACTGTCAATCAGAGAGGATTACTTTGTGCACTACATCTAAGATATGACGGTCCGAAATGTCGATGTTCGAGGTGCCGGAAGTGTCATTTTATCTTTAGGTGTATTCAAGCGATATTGGTATTTTCTCGGATTCGAATTGGACTTCGGGTCGTATTCTAGAACTCTATTCAATGCTCAAGTCAGGATTGCACTGGCAACACAAGCACTGGAAATACGACCCTAATGGCAGGGACTTGAGTATGATTTCTAGTGCTTTGAATCATACTCAAGTCCTGACTTAAGCATTGAGTAGAGTTCTAGAATACGACTTTCAGTGCACAAGCGACATCCGAAGTGGGTCTGAGTTTTCTAGATTTGTATAGTCTCGGGTTCGGAACAAATACGAATCGGACGCTTTGTGACAGTACCCCTTAGATCTTTGCGATTTAAAGCTCTGAGTGGCACTGCAACTGATTTATGAGTAGGTAGTGTTGCACCGCTTGATATAATAAAATAAACACTTATTCGGGTTTTTGTTTTTCAGGGTTTCTCAGTGGGATAGCGCTAAAAAAATATTCATTTCGTCAAGTAGGCTTGGTGGGAGCCGGGTTGTTTGTGCTCGGTGACGTCATGACCATATTTGTTCAAAGGACTTACCAGCTGGTATTCACGTTTGGAGTTGTTAGGGGTAAGTTTTTGTGTTCTAGAAAGAAGCAGGTATCTATTTCTAGTTAAGTTTTGTTTATAGTGCCTCTATCAACCTCTTGGTTATACGGGTAGGGCGTTATTAAAAGGCAGAGTTAAACTTATCAAAGTGAGTAGTAACTCACTCATAGTTGAGAGAGAAATGTTAAAAAAAAAACTTGTTAAGTTTTATGCGTTTATGTAATCGAAAGTAACTCCATATCTTGTTGGTTGTGAAATGTAAACCATCATCATCATATTAGCTGGAAGATCTCCACTGCTGGACATAGGCCTCCCATAAAGGTTTCCAGATTAGTCGATCGTACGCGGGGTGCGTCCATCGGTTACCCGTCGCGCTTATCAGGTGACCTGTCCATCTAGTAGGGAGCCATCTCTCATTGAACGCCTTCCGGTTCGTGGTCTCCATTCGAGAACCTTTCTGCCCCAACAGCCATCAGTTCTACGAGCTATGTGCCCGGCCCATTGCTACTTCAACTTGATAATCCTTTGGGCAATGTGGGTGACTTTCGCTCTTCTACGGATCTCGTTATTTCCGATTCGATCACGTAGATAAATTTACACTGTATATAGGTAATTTCTATGGCTATTAGAGGAAAGTATTCGTATTAAGTAAGTAGATAGGCTTATGCTCTAAGTAGATAGGTATTAATCTGTGTAAAGAGGATTATTCCATTCATGGAAAGTCTAAATTTTGGTTATAATCTGCTTAAATGGGATTTTTTTTATGATCCTGAGATAACTTTCTAGCGAATACGTGTAAGGGTGAATTGGTAACAAAAAAAATGTTGCCTGAGCAAAATTAATACGTGACCTGCTTCCATTGGTGTATATGTATTTTATCATAATCAATCAATCTGTCGTACTCTGATGATGAATGTAATAGTACGTCAACACAACATTTATGAACAATATCTTTAGTTAGGCAAGTGATAGGTCGCAACGCAAGAAATCCTATTAACGAATATATATTTTATTATTCCTGAAACCGTTATTATATTGAACGCGCAGGGCGCCGAGTGCTTTCTGTGTATACCTTGAATGAATTTAATTTTATTATTTTATCTACACACATATCATGAACACTCTACGATGTGTTCAAAAACCGCAAATTACGACCAGCATAAACTGTTTTGTTAGGACAAATTTCTTATCTGTGAAAATGTTATTATTACTTCATAATAACGTGGAATCCGATTTTATTATGACATTTCGAATTTTCGAAATTTCGTGGGTTTATGAAACGAGCCGACAGGTGAGTTACATAAAAATATCACATGAGTGTTTTAATGCCTCATTGTTTACAGTTACATACACTGCTTTATCTATACACAGTTTATAAGCTGAACATGAAAATGAAAAAAAATGAAAAAATAGTTTATTTGTACCATCACAAACTACAAAATTCTTGTTACATATATTAATAAGTACTAGTTGTATAATTAATTATAGTTTGTGAGGAAGCTGGAATCTAAACTAGGTCGAAACCTGTGCTATAGCTTCCAGACCCCCCCCACCACGGAAATAATTGTGACTTGAAACGTAAGCACTTAACAATTAACAAAATGTGTGACTGGTGTGTGTGTGTGTGTGTGTGTGTGTGTGTGTGTGTGTGTGTGTGTG